CGTTCCTGATGGGCCCTGGTTTCTCCCGCGGGGAAATAGCGCAGCACAGCACCAGTGGTTGAGGAGGGAGCCTTGATCTTCCCCTTAGTGAAGCCCCCGGCCTCTTGGAAAAATGACAACTTGAAGTTGGTTTCGCACAGGTGGGAGGGAGAAAATGGATACCTAGGAGGTGACAGCTAACAAAGGAGAAAAAAGTGCACAGGCAGTAGCTGGGAGAGCAAGAAACAAGCTGCTGTATTTCATACAAAGTCTCGAGCAAGTCGTGGGACACAGATTCTAGACCCCCCCCCCCAGATACCTCCTGTGGTCGGGGTGGCATGTCTTAGAGCCGGGCAGGACGAGGACACAGAACATTTCTTTTGTAAATCGGGGTTTTTGAAGGGCATCACCTCCCTTTCCCCTAGAGAAGGGAAACAAACCTGTGTAAACCCACTGAATTTGAGCCTCTGTGCCTTACAGGCGGCTCGGAGAGGCACAGAGGGTGTGTGAGACTGAGGTGGTTTCTGAGGGGCAGGAGCTGGATTGGTGGTGTGGATGCTAAATGCAGGTCCAAAGACTGAGGAGGAGCCAGGGAAATGTTTCCACCGAAGCAAGCAAAAGGAGGAAAGTTCAAACCATGTACTGAGTTTTAAAGCCAAATTGTTCCTTTTAAAGGCTTTTCCGTATTCTGATAATTAGTTCTATTTTATGGTGTCAAAATGTTTTTCATAAAATGACCTGATAATACAAAGCTGCTTGGTTTTATAAATTTTTGTTAATATGTCCTTAGTAGGCTAGATCAAAGATGTCAAACCTACATTAGTTTTTAAAAATTTGCTTGTTTTGTTGTTAAATTTACTTGTCCGTGAACTCTAAGTCTGAGATCAACTGGGTTAGCTCACGGTATCCTCAGCTGACTTTTAATGCTGCATCAAAGAAGACTTGAGAGAGTGGGGCGGGAAGCGCGTGACCACCTCTCCCACATCAGTCAGCGTGCACCTGCCCTTCCCTTTGCTCTTATCTCCTGTGGCAAATGGGTTTTCTGGGCACAGGAAGCACCTGCTGGCCCTTCAGGCCTCTAGGATGCCGTCCAAGTAGAGACTCACTTCTTTCCCTCCCTTGTCTCCATGAATTGTACCTCATTCCAAACCTCCCCTGTATCCTTGCCCTCTCTAAGGTTAATATGTAGAAGTAGACAGATGCTACTTAATATTTTTTTCTCTTTTCACAAGGACATTGAATGTAATGGAGATTGAGATAAGAAGAAACAAGAACCAAGGGGAGGAGGGGCACTGACTATCCAAGAGGAACAATCCCCTGACGTAAGCAGGAGCCTGTCCGTCCCTCCTTATGCTTGCCCCAGTGATCTGAAGGGCCCACACTCCCAGGTGAGCTGGGGCTCACGCCACACTAAGGACCCTAAGGTGCCTTCAGATACCATCAACTGGAGCAGGCACCATTTCAAGAGATTGCTAAGAAAGGAGTAACTGGTTTAAGCGCCCGGCGCTACAATGCTGTTTCCCAAAAAGGCCCCCTTTAGGCAGCCCGCAGTCCCCGACCATGGCCTGCATCTATACTCGAAGCTGAGACGGAACACAGAACTTGACTCTCAGAAGCAGGACTCATCTGAACACCCTCTTCCTGCAGTCCCAGCCCAATCCGTGAAATCACACGGACGTCTCCAATGAAGTCTCACGGTAGCCCCCGCACCCCCCAGGATTCTTCTCACAAGGGGGGAGATCAAGGATAAGTGTCCACCTGACCACGAGCTCCACCCTCGTCGAGTGTTCCTCATTCTCTGCGGAAACCAACGTGAGCAAGAGTCCTCGACCCAGGGTCCACATGCATCCTTAGGGGTTTGAGGGCCTGCAAATAGGGCTCCAAATATACATACACATTTTCTTCTTTTCTTCTTTAGTGTGCTTTCTATTACTTGGGGTGAAAACTGATTTTTATTTTCTTCCTTTTTTGTATTCACCAGATTTTCAAAAACTTTCCTCCCTTATTCTCCTCCATTCAGGAAAGACCAGACAGTAGAATGGGCAAAAGAGAAGGGGCCAGAGGACAGGCCTTGTGGTCTGTCTTTAAATCCTGAGTAAGAGCAGAAAACATCCATCCCCTACTCCAGGCTTTTACACAGCAGCCCTGAAAGTCACCCTGGTCCCTGCAGGGGACATACCGGCACCTTCAGAGATCTGACACTGCAGCTGACACCTACCTCACCTGACATCCTGCCGAGACACTTAGATCACTTGGGCTGGAAAGGTACACTTGGGCCTCACTGTGGGATGGCATCATCTCTGGTCCTCCTTCCACCTCTGACATACACACACCTCCCCCTCCAAAATGCCATCTTGGGAAAGCCACTGCCCTCTGCCATATACTTATTCTCAGTTTAGCCCAAAGTTATCTATCAACCAGAGATTTTGTAAATGATACATTACCCTTCTCCAGAGATAGGAGGAAAAATCCCATCACAATATTGGTTAAAAAAGAAGAAAAAGAAGGAGAAGGAGAAGAAGAAAGAAGAAGAAAGAAGAAGAAGATTTTAGCCATCATGACAGTTACATGACTGCTTCCCAAAGGGTAACTGAGGATTGGGCTGAATAAGGGAGGGAGGGAGAAGGGGACAGAACATAAAGGCTCTGGGCATCTGAAAGCAGAGCACAAGGAGATCCACTGCGGGGGAGGCGGTAAAGCCAGAAGGCAGACACCCAGACATCATAGAAGTACAAGCTGTTGGAGATGCCACCTGCCACGGCGGGCAGGTGCCAAAGCAGGAGGGATGAGAGCCTGTAATACACTCATAAGTCAGGGTTTCAGAAGTGACACTAATTACTCCTTTCTAAAAAAAGGAGAAAAATGTGTAGATCCCCATAAACCACAGGCCATGTTCCTAATCCCCAGAGAATCCTCCCCTGGGAAGCAGGTTGCAAGGGAAAGTGGAAACCCATGGATTTCTCTGACTACAGTGCTGATGCTCTGGCCTCTTATGCAAAGAGCTTAAAGTGGATTTTGACAGGTTGGTGCCGAGGATGCCAAGAAACTGGGCATGAGGCAGGAGGCTGCCAAGGAGGAGGAAGAGAGAGAGCAGAGGAGAGGTGAAAGAGAGCAAGAAGACAACCTTGTTTCTTTTCTCAGAGACATTTAGGGCAAGCCCTGGGGAAAGGTTCTAGCTATATTCTTGGGCTACAGTGTGGCGTGTCCCAAAGCAGGCACAGTAAGAATGTGCAGTCCATCTGTATTTCAGAGTTTTCAAAAATGCATCTGTTCCCTCTCTCCCTGCAAGAGGGTAAATGTGTAGGTCCCTGTAAAACTGGGCAACACTCCTGTTGGCCGTCGCAACTCTCCCTTGGGCAGAGTCAAAATGAGGAACTGTGTTCTTTTTCATCTTGGTGTGAGATGCCTGACCCCTTGCTAAAGGATACCTGACTTCTGATTTTGATGGAGGAGGAGGAGACAAATCATGAAGGTGCTTGTTGACTAAAAGGAATCCTAGAAAAATGCTTCAGCTTTGAAAAGGAACATGGGAGGACTAGGAGATAACCACACTTTACAGAAGCTCAAGAGACAAAGACCCCTCTGTATATATGGCCCAAAGACGCCAACGGCAAGAGGGAGTGGTGTGTCCAAGACCAGGCAGAATGAGAATACGCCCCCAAGCCAGAGATTCAGAAGGATCAACAGCTGTCCTCCCCCATACCCCGCACACCCCCCAGGCGAGGAAGATGCATCCTTGCAGACTTAAACCTCCATCTTTGTCCCCATATCCTCGCTGGAGGAGCAGCTTGGAGAGGCAGCAATAGGAAGGTTTTATTTGACTTCCTGTGTGTTATGTGGCCTCCTTCCAAGGATGGCTGAGAGCTTATGTGGGCAGGGGGATTATGTGAAGATCAAGGAACTGGGTACTGCAGAGGACCATGCTGCGGAGAATGCTGACAACATCAAAAGGGCAGAGGAGGGGCTGGAATACAACACCCAAACTTCATAGACCCCAGGGCACATCTTGGGAAGAGCTCCAAATGTCACCCTAGTGGTGCCATCCACAAAGCAAGGGAGTTTCAAAGAAGATGGGATGCAGAGCCATAATTTGGTGTTGAAACGTCTTTTATCAAATTACAGGGATAGTACACAGTTGTGTGCACGTGTGTGTGTATATGTGAGTGTTGTTTAATCCCTTTAATAGATACTAATTCAGGAAAAGTAGAGGCAGTCTCATAACTTCTCCCACAATGTGTGTGAGGATGCAGCAGGCACAGGCCCACCAGTTCAAAAATACCCAATTAACTCTTTGAGGGCAGCCAGGAACTTTAAAGGTCTGAATCTTAAGCCACTACCCACATCACTGGGCCCCCTGTCCCCTGCATCGTCTCAACGAACAAGACAGATGTGGACCCAAATTTCAAGCGATTGAAATCAGTCTCTCCGCAGTATACAGGTAGGATGCCCTGCCCCCACCGAGCCTTGCTCCCAGCCACAGTCGAGCTGCAGGAACACTATTATCCCCGCCCTTCGCAGGGGATCACGTAATTCGCTTGAAGGAAATTTAAGAGCAAGGCATTGATCTCCCTCATCTTATTCCTCCTTTTTCAAGCCTAGTACGTGGGATAATCAACAATCAAGATTTATTTATTAAAGGAGAAAGGGAGAGGAAAGAGAGGGCGTTGAGAGAAACCACGCTTACGTGTAAACATGAGGGAGAAAGGGTACTGCTATGGACTCTTTCTGTCCCGTCTTGAAGAGCTCTTTCTGACCCCTGCCTTTTTTCTCTTCTTCTTGCCCAAATCCTGCTTCCTGTGACTAGTTCTTTCTTTACTTCTAGTATCACTTAATCTTTTCCTGTTTTGGCCATATTTCTGTCCCTCTTGGCTTTCTAGACATTTCTCCTTTCTCCTTTGTCATTTTTTGCATATCTCATCAGTTCTCTATTTTTTTCTGCTTGAGCTCTTATTCCATCATCTGACAACTTTTTCTTTTAAATAGGAATGTCAGGGCCTCAGGAGAATAACGGGGTGAAAGAGGAGCTAAGAGGGAGGATGTCATCTAAGAATTCCTCGTGGGGGCGGGGCCCATCCGTCCTCCTCCCCCTGGCTTTGTCCCAGGGAGTCAGAAATGACCATTCAACGGCGGTCCTACCCCCATCTCCCTCTGGGTTCTACTTAGTGGCCCTTGGGATCTACCAGTTACCATTAACAGGGGAGCTAACGTTTCAGGCCCTACCCAGCTTTCGTCCTCTGCTGCACTACCTCAGAGAGGCAGCCCCAGGCCCTACTTCTCAGCCTCTCTTCTTCTGTGAAGACCTGTTCGTACAAAAGTCAGGAGAACTCCCTTCTCCAAATGGAACGTCTTTCATGTAATTCTTTTTTCCACAGTAATGTTTGAGTCTGGGGGTTTAATTTAAGGTCACCACACACTGATCCTATGAATAGGCTTCCTAGACTCTAGCAGTTGACACCCACTCTCACTCTGAGGTCAGGGCCTCTTCCAGGCCACACCCTGCATAGGAACGTGTGGGCCCAGTTGCAGTTCAAGTGCTCAGCTACCACGGTTTTGGACTTTCCAGTTTGCTGTTTTCTAGAGGGAGTCCCCTTCACAGTAGGAGTGTTTTAAAAAGTCAATTATCTTTGCCATCTGGTTTGAACCAAATATAACTAAAGTAACAGGCATTTCTAGGAGACACCACTCCCTAAATTCTGACAGAAGGCCGGAGGTCAGCGCTTGCTTGTCTTCCTGACAAGTTTCCTGGCAGGGGCCACCAGATGTCCTAGTGATGTTGTCAGGTTTTCCAGTTAGCATCTCAGGGCTTCTTGGCAGGAGTTCTGGGCTCGCTGGTTCATTCAGCTCGGACAGGCCCAGCCCCTCCAACAGGTCACTCTGTCATTCATATACTTGCTCTGTGTCAGAGCACCTACAACACGCCTCTCGCTGAGCTTGGCAGTGGGCACATGAGAGGACAAAGTGAGGGAACTCATGGTCCGTCACTGCTGGCATCCCCAGGGCGCTCTGCTGCCTGTGGCAGCTTCCAGAAGCTGTTCTGTCTTCAGTGTTCTGTGTTCACAATGTTCACAGTGTTTCTTGTCTCTTCAAACTTGCCAAGTTCCTAACTTACCTAACTTCTTCCTGCCCTGTAGTCCCATATCTTTTATTTTAATTGTGGTAAAATATACTTGATATCAAATTACCGTTAGTGACATTTAGCATATTCATAGTGTGGTGCAGCTGTCGCCACCATTTAGTTCCAGACCATTGTCATTACCCCAGAAGGAAACTGTTCTCATTATAATGGTCACTCCCCATCCTTCCCTGCTTCCCCTCCCACCACCACCCCGGCAACCACGAGTCTGCTGCCTCTATGGATTTGCTTATTTTAGCTATATCTTAAAAAATTGAATCATGCATTACAACCTTTTGTGTCAGGCTTCTTTTACTCAGGTAAAAGCTTCAGAGTCCATCCATGTGCTATCATCTGTCATACTGCACCCTTTTTTTGACATAATAGTATTCCATTGTACAGATATACCACATTTTGCTGATCTACTCATCAATTGGTGGACCTAGGGGTTGTTTTGCTTTTTGGCTATTATGAGTAGTGCTGCTATGAACATTCATTTACTAGGTTTTGTTTGAACACCTTCTTCTTCTTTTTTTTAAATATATTTTTATTGAAGTATAATCAGTTTACAACATTGTGTCAATTTCTGGAGTACAGCACAATGCTTCAGTCATATAGGAACATACATATATTCGTTTTCTTATTCTTTTTCACCGTAGGTTACTACGAGATATTGAATATAGTTCCCTGTGCTATACAGTACAACCTTATTTATTTTATGTATATTAGTATCTGCAAATCTCAAACTCCCAATTTATCCCTTCTCACCCCTTCCCGCCCTAGTAACCATAAGTTTGTTTTCTGTATCTGTGAGTCTGTTTCTGTTTTGTAAATAAGTTTGTTTCTCTCTTTTTTTTTCTTTTATATTCCACATATGAGTGATCTCATGTGGCATTTTTCTTTCTCTTTCCGGCTTACTTCACTTAGAGTGACATTTTCCAGGTCCATCCACATTGCTACAAATGGCATTATTTTATTATATTTTATGGCTGAGTAGTATTCCATTGTAGAAATATTCTGCAACTTCTTTATCCAGTCATCTGTCAATGGACATTTAGGTTGTTTCCTTGTCTTGGCTATTGTATATAGTGCCGCTATGAACATTGGGATGCATGTGTCTTTTTGAATTAAGATTCCCTCTGGATATATGGCCAGGAGTGGGATTGCTGTATGATATGATAGGTCTATTTTTAGTTTTTTGAGGAATCTCCATACTGTGTTCTACAACAGCTGCACCAAACTATATTCCCACCAGCAGTGTAGGAGGGTTCCCTTTTCTCTACACCCTCTCCAGCATTTAGTTTGTGGATTTTTGAATGATGGCCATTCTGATTGGTGTGAGGTGATAACTCGTTGCAGTTTTGATTTGCGTTTCTCTGATAATTAGCAATATTGAGCATTTTTTTCAAATGCCGATTGGCCATTTGTATGTCTTCATTAGAGAATTGCTTGTTAGGTCTTCTGCCCATTTTTGGATTGGGTTGTTTGTATTTTTGTTATTAAGTTGTATGAGCTGTTTATATATTCTGGAGATTAAGCCCTTGTCAGTCTCATCTTTTGCAAATATTTTCTCCTATTCTGTAGGTTGTCTTTTCACTTTGATAGTGTCCTTTGATGCACAAAAGTTTTAATTTTGATCAAGTCCAATTTATGTATTTTTTTATTACTTGTGCTTTTATTGTCATATATAAGAAACCAGTGCCAAATATGTCAAAAGATTTACCTCTGTGTTTTCTCATAAGAGTTTTATGGTTTTCACTCTTATATTTAATTCATTTTGAGTTAATTTTTGCATATAGTGTGAGATAAGGGTCCAACATTATTCTTTTGCATGTGGCTATTCAGTTGTTCCTGCACCATTTGTTGAAAAGACTATTCTTTCTTCATTGAATGGACTTAGCATCCTTGTTAAAAATCAACTGACTTTTGATTTATGGTTATATTTCTGGACTTTCAATTCTATTCCAATAATCTATATGTCAATCATATCCCAGTACCACACTGTTTTGACTACTGTAGCTTTGTAGTAAGTTTTGAAACCAGGATAAGTGTTAGTCTCCAATTTTGTTCTTCTGTGTCAAGATTATTTTTTTTGGCTATTTGGGGCCCCTTGCAATTCTATATGAATTGTAGAATAATTTTTTCCATTTTTGTAAAAAAAACGATCGTTGGTTTTTGATAAGGATTGCATTAGTTCTATGGATTGCTTTGCTTATGATTGCCATCTGAACAATATTAAGTCTTCCAATCTGTGGGGTATCTTGTCTTTTCATTTATTGATATCCTCTTTAACTTCTTTTGGCAATGTTTTGTAGTTTTCTTTGTGCAGGTCTTGTACCACCTTGGTTAAATTTATTCTCAAGTATTTATTCTTCTTGATACTATTGCAAATGAAAATTTTAAATTAATTTCTTGTTTGGACTGTTCATTGCCAGTGTATAAAAATACAACTAATTTTTGATCTTATAAAAATTTGCTGAATTAATTTATCAGCTCTAACAGATTTTTTATGTACATTTTTTAGAATATTATATATATATATATATATATA